TTTAATTGTTGTCTTGTCATTCTGTAAAGCGCTTTGAGAAGCCACCTTTAAAGGCGCTATATAAAATAGTTTATTATTATTATAGTATTTCAGGAGCACCGGGGCACCTGAGAGGGGTTTAGTACACAAGCTGGACGTACCGTACTTAAACTCACACAACATTTTTCTTGATGTAGGATCAGATGCCCATTGGCAAAAAAATAAACACAAACAAAAGTCCAGCTTTGTCTGAGCTCAAGCTCAACCTCTTCCCTTTCTATCAGCTGGACAGCAGATCAGCTGACTAAACAAAAACACCTTTTAAGTGAATTAAACCAGTTTGGTTGGGCGAGATCATAGAAACTCTTAGTGTAGCTCAGTGCGTGTTGCTTGAGTGTGTGATCCTGTAGCTCTTTACCGAGACTCCTGGCACAAGTCACTGCCACTTGAGTTCCTATGAAAACATGTTTGGTTGCTTCTCCGTTCCTCGTGGTGCTCTAGTGAACTGCACTAAATGAAGGCAGCAGGATGAAGGAAGATGAGGCTGACTGTCCAGCTCCTGGCCTGTATGTATGTAGCATTTCCCCCAACATCGACTTCAGCTCGCTACAACAGCAAGGTCACTGATTGCTGTGGTAAAGAAACTCCAGTCTTCTGTTAATTGCATCACCTGCCTGTGAGGTTTAATATGGACATTAAGATTTTCTTGCTCAGGTCTCTAAGGAGACAAGCCCCAGGTTATCTTAAATACATTTGGGATAGGCTGCAGCTCCCCCATGATCCTGAATTGAAGAAGTTATAATAATAATTAATAATTGCTTACACTTATATAGTGCTTTTCTGGACACTCCACTCAAAGCGCTTTACAGGTAATGGGGACTCCCCTCCACCACCACCAATGTGCAGCATCCACCTGGATGATCCAATAGCAGCCATAGTGCACCAGAACGCTCATCACACATCAGCTATCAGTGGGGAGGAGAACAGAGTAATGAAGCCAATTCATAGATGGGGATTATTAGGAGGCCATGATTGGTAAGGGCCAATGGGAATTTGGCAGGGACACCAGGGTTACACCCCTACTCTTTTCGAGAAATGCCCTGGGATTTTTAATGACCACAGAGAGTCAGGACCTCGGTTTTACGTCTCATCCGAAGGACTGCTCTTGTTTACAGTAAAGTGTCCCCATCACTACACTGGGGCATTAGGACCCACATGGACCACAGGGTGAGCACCCCCTGCTGGCCCCACTAACACCTCTTCCAGGAGGTCTCCCATCCAGGTACTGACCAGGCTCACGCCTGCTAAGCTTCAGTGGGTTGCCAGTTGTGAGTTGTAGGGTGATATGGCTGCTGGCCAGTTAGGAAATGGATGGGTAGATGGATGGTTTAGTTCATGATCTGATGATTCAGGATTCCCACAGTAGGTTACAGAGCCTCTTGTGTGTGGCACAACATCTGTGGAGCTCACTGATCACACCCACCAGACTCTATGACTGTAGACATTTTCAAAATGTAGAAATCTATCTTTTCCTTAAAGCTTTTCATGTGTACATTATTTTTGCTTTTTTGTTTTATCAATTTACTTGTGCTCTTTTCATCTGTTTCTGCTTCTGTGCATCTTCCCTGCACTATTGTCTTGGAGTTTTTGATTTGGTCTTGCTCCATTCCATCCCTCATAGGACAAAATAAATGGATTCTTCTTCCTCCTCCTCTATCATCTCAGCTTGCTCAGATGCTGACAACTCCGCTGTCTCAGTTAACCGGGGAGCTTTCTAGGACCTGTGTTTCCCTCCCGGCTCTGCTAGCACACAAGTGATGATATAGCGACCAAGTCTCTCTGTGCTCCTCAAGGTGATGCACACTGTTTATCCAACAGGATATATTTTGTATAGACTGGATTTCAGAAATCTATGTGCACAGAGCCCTGGGTCAAATCAAAATGAAGACGACTGGTAAATAATATAGAATATAGCTATGGCAGTGTTGCAGGCATAGCTGTGCTACAAAAATGTTTATTTTGAGTATGAGGTTGTGTGTGGTTAATTTAAAACAAATGGCCCATTTTATTTAAATTTTAGCTTGCGGAAAAAGCACTTTGGGAATACATAAATAAATTAAATAAACTGAGCAAGTGCCGAGCTATATCTATTCATTTTGAACAAACCCCTTGTTAATGTTACATTAATTTAGTGCAAAAGAAAATAGCATTACATTTTCCGTTGCCTGTTTTATCTTCCTATTTCCTTTAAATGTGCCATGAATGGTTAAAGCCATTTCCCTTTTAAGGAGCAGAGCCAAATCCTAATAGGATTTTTTTTTTACATTTCTAATAAGCTTCTGTGTAAGTGTAGAGCAGAAGAGTTCAAATCTAGACATTATACATCAGCAGATTTGTAGTCACAACATGAATTTCATATTAGGGAATTTCCAGATTGCAGTAACAGTGACTCAAATTCTGATTTCAAACATTCTTTCTCAATTACAACTGCAACAGTTCAGACTGTAGTAAAGTTTTATATTGTGTTATTTTTGTCAAATATGAAGTTCAGTTAATGAATTATGTTTAAATCATGGAAACGCTCTTGACCTTAGAAAAAGTAGTTCACAGAACAAATGTTGACTCTATTTGGCACCTATTTTCAAATAGTCATATCAACCCAGTATTAATAAAGGGTTAATAAGCACATGATCAGGATTTAATTCAGACAGGTTCTTGAAGGGAATGTAAATCGTTAAGAATACATACTGTACCTGTGAGGATCTGTTGAGTGTGTGATATAGCTATGACTTGCTATTGAAATATGTCATACTTTCAGAAATCTAATGCATTGCCAAGACGACAGGGCAAATTTGTTAAGTCCAGATGTCTCTCAAGATCATACTATGAATTGATTTTTCTCAGTCTTCTTTTAATGCAATGCATTTAACAAAAGCACCAAGCAGTAAGCCTCCACCCCTTTTCAGAGTGATGATTGTTGCATAATCTTTTACTAATCAGTTTGACATTTAAAATAGGCTTGATCCAAATTTAGAATTTAGGCACATATCCTCAAATGTTTTGTATTTGTTGGTGTTACAACTGGATTATCATACTGTGCACAAATATGCATCCATATAACTGAAAATGCTCTAAATAATAAGCCATAATTAAATTTTCATTTGCGTTCTAAGTGATCTCAGCATCATACACTATAACAGGACAATTAAGCCACTGTACAGTATGAAGCAGAGGTGCTCCAAAGACCCCATTCTCAGTACAGCGAATGCAGAAATAACAGATGGAGGTTCCCTACAGAAGGTCCCAGAGCACATTGGATTCAGTAAGATCCTGTCTTTTGTGAAAGGCAAAACCCAAGCTTACAAAAGCATGGCTGTGTGGCAATCTCAAAGTCAGCATTTGTCCTCAAAGTGATGAGGTGAGAGGTAAAAATAAAGAGCACTGTTGTCAGGTACACAGAAGCAAACGTTTGACACAAGCTTTTGTTTTTAAAACATCCAGTGAAAACTAAATCCCACTGCATCTTCCAATTTTTGCATCTACTCTCCTGAAGCTAAGGTCCCCTTTCTCATTTCTTTGCCACAAGGCCTTTCAGAGAGAGATGCCCTATGAAAGGATGTATTTCAACAGTCAGAAAACTTAAGCATTTTAGTGTGACCCAAAGCCATGTTCTGTTATTTATGAGAGATGCATTTTAGGGCACTAAATTTAGAATAAAATGAAAGGATTACAAAAAACAACTTATAAAGTAATGATCATAATTACTCTTTTCAGCATGCACATTGAGAGAGGGGAAATAAAAGACATTTGTGAGGAATAAGACTGTGTGGGAAGATTTCAAGTGAGAGCACCAGAGAATACATTCTATATAATTACACATGGAGAGATCACTCATTATTTGATTTTAGTAGCTATTTTTACCAATTATTTTTGAGCTTTGTGAATATATTTTAGAACATGCCTTGCTGAACGGTACATTCAACTGTGTAATTTAGTTCTCCGAAGTGTAGTCCTGTTCCTCTTATTGCGTACTGAAACAATGAAGTTCAAATCACTGTGCTTCCATTGTGTTCACCTTTGTCTGTGTGCTCAAAACAAGCAAGCCTGAGCCTGCCCTGGTGCACAATCCTAGTAATGGGGTTTTCATCCCAGAGCTAATAGCTCCTACTACACACCCTCAGGTAAGCCAACTGGAGTAAATGACCACTTATTGTCTTTGCTCCTCAGTCATCGTGCCGACGATTACTGGTATTGTTTCTTCAATTATGATATTTTTGGCAAATGCACACGTGCATTTTGTTATAGTTACATTTATTGAATGCGCATTTGTGTTTGTGTGTCTGTAGTGCATCCTTTTCCACTTTCTCTTACTGAACAGTTACTGAGCAGGAGCTGCATGTCTTCATATCACAAGAGTAACCAGTGGAAGCTGGTATTAGCATTAGAAGTACAAAGTTTAGGTTTGGCAGAACCTATTTGGCAAATATGTCTCTTTTCTGTCGAGGTTGTGTCTTTACAGTCAGCACAATTCTGCAACACTTGAGAACAACATCTGGAGCGCCTCAGTACAATAATCTTATCTTTGGATTCTCGATGGTTATTTACTCTTCTGCAGTACATGAATCGTTTGTGTTCTGGCAAACAGACATCTGTCAACTAGACCTATGTAAGATTGGAAAATATTGAGTGAGGTTCATTTGTCTCAGTGCCCACACAGTTTTAATTACATGTAACAAAATAGTAAAAAAAACCTCTATCCCTTCCTTTTCCTTTTAATTAGTTAGATTTTAGCCACGTGATTGTCTTGCATAGTATAAGCACCTAACACAGTTTATTTTCAGGCATAGCAAAACCTGGATTGGCAGATTGACAGTTCAAGTTGATTTTAGAGAGAAACAATCTGTATGCTTATGTTGATTCTCAGCCTCCAAAAGATAATGTGAGAAATGGGTACTTCTCCGTCACCTTGTTAAAGTTTTGGTTGTCCACTGGACTACTTCAGTTGTTCTTTTATTTTGCAGGCAAGAGCTATAATCAATGAGGATTTAAAAGGGGCTTAACCAAGTACTTCCAAAGGAATTCCGAAACACCCACAGGTAAGATACTTGATTTCCTTTCCTTTGCTGAAACAAAAGCCATTACCATCAGTGAAGCCATCCTTCAGTTTAGTTTTAGCCCCAATATTGTTTTATGCTCAGAAACACAGTATGAACGGACAAAACTGTCAATCTTCCAATCCATGTACTTGCGTGATTTTGCATGTGCAAAGGTGACATGTTCACAGAAAAGATGCGTGGGTTGGCAGGTTTCATGTTGGTGCCACAGTGATGCTACATGCAAGTGAAAGAGAAAGGAATTTGCTTTGAGAACACAGTGTTCCTGCCAGCAACAAGGTGAAGTCACTAGTGCATTCAGTGGACAACAGCAGCTTTTCTGACAGGCTGTGACTGGACCTGGACCTGGAGGGGAATGTGTTCTGACCCAGTGACAACACCTCCAGATTCAGACGAGTTGGCTGAGGGGATCATTTCCACCCACCATGCCTGCTCATGTCGTTGGGCGTTTTAGAAAACCCCAAAGCCGATTACAGTTGGCCGGCATGTATTTGAAGTAATGGTGGATTTGGAGTAGGTGGATTCTGAGGCAAAAGAATTATAATGATTCCCATCACATAGAAGCGCCAGTGCAGTTTGTGCATCAACATGAAGGACATCTTCTGCAATAATAGAAAAGCCTAGTGATTTCTATGCTAGTGAGCGGCTGTAGAGCATGGTGTTTATCATGTTTCTCATATACTGTAAACGTTTGGTGGGGGTCTTCCTGCTTTGGTGATGGTAGCTTATTGGTCTGGGAGAACAGTATTGCCTGCACTCAAGTCATCTTGTTGTTGTCAGTGGAGGACAAAGGTTTAAGCTGGAAGCAGAGATGAATTTAAGATAACAACTGGAGGGAGACATTTCAGGCAACACAATAAACCCTAAGGCAAGATACGTTTTTTTTTGTTTGCCCTGTAAATGTCTCCGTACTGTAGTATATGAACTTTTCTAAAAACATTTTTATTAGCACCTCCAGAGTAGAGCAGAATTGAGATTGCCACGAGTGCACTATAGTAATTTGTCCGCTTGAGCTTGTGGAATCACTCAAAACACTAAGAAAAAGAGAAGAAGCAGACTTTTGCTGGAAAATATGTGAATGTTTCTAGGGCGATCAGTGTATTTTTCAAAATCAAGGCAGTGATACTTTTGTTGCTGTTATTGCTGACATTCTGGTCAGTGCGTATTGGGTAAATAGCTCTGCGTACAGCAAATAAACCATCTAAGACTGAGTGATAGAATTGTTCTGCAGTAAAGGAAGCCAGGAATCTCAGAGTTCAGTGGAGGTCAACAGTAACAGCCACATGGAGACATGAAGGTCCTGTTTTCCTGTGTATGGCAGCAGAAATAAAGTGGATAAGCTCCTTCCTGTTCTTATCAGACAAGAGGAGAAAATCACTATGCATTTTACCTGATACTCCACCCCCATTGTTAATAATGTCTGAATGCTGAGAGGTTTTTTTCAGGGTTTTTAAACTATTTTTAGTTTTTTGGTTCAAAGCAGTTTTAAGTGACCGTTTTAAATAAAATGGTAATGCTGATTAATGTTTACGGTATGATTACAGTATGCTTTTGTGAGTTCCTTGCATGATGGTAATATACACAATATGCTTTTTGTTTTGGAAACTACTGGTTTGATAATCTTGTACTTGTAATCAGAACTGATGACTTAAACTTCATTGAAGATCAGTAATGTACCACTGGTGGCATGGTCACTGATTTGTTGTTGCCAACAAAAAAAACACAAATAATCTTGCTTTCTCTGGTGGTTTTCTTGTGCTTACAGTAGCTAATGAAGTGTTTAATCTGCTTCCGATTTAGTCTTAAAACATCCACTTTTTCCACGGATTGCAACCAACTTCTTGTTTGTCTTAAGCAGAAATGACAAGGCAGCTCCTTGCATGTAGTGGTTATTTAAATTTATTTGTATTCTTTTGTCTATATCTCATGTATGTTCTGTTGCATGAAAAGTTGTAATACATTCCAGGCATAGGAGGTTGTAGAACCACTTGAGTGCTGACAATGTTACAGAACACTAAATTGGCCTGAAAGAACCTATTATGTTTGTTACACAAGATTTGACCTACCTTTTTTGCAGCCAAACGCTTGGCCCCAATTTGCATTCTTGCTAGCATGCAGCTTTCTTATGTGAGCAGGGTGAGTGCAACTTTCCGTTTTGCACTTTCACCGTATGTCAAAGGTTGTTTAGAGAAGTCTCCCTCTGAAAACTAAGGAAAGTCCAAGATCGCCTTATGACACTAGAATAAATATTTTTGGGCATTCATTTATTTAGTTTTAGTATTGAAGAACCGCTTTCTGAAAGTCCTTAAGTCTTTGTTTTGTTGGCAGACAACTTGAAACTGTTTGTCCTTCAAAACAAGTGTAGTCAGATAAGGTTAAAAAATACAGCCCCGTTTCTGCACAGCACATGCCACTGTGCCTACAGTTCTGTAATGTATGATTTCTTTATCAACAGCACAGAGGCACACAGTCTTAGCAGTATCTGCAAAACGTTAAGGAGGGCAGGAAGAGGAAGCAATCATGTAAAAGTAACATTGCTGTGAAGGTTTTCTTTCTACCTCACACTAACTGCATAGATTAATTACCTTCCTAAGGATGAAATCAGCCAGAGCGGAGGTGCGGGCTGAAATGTCACATCGCACACATCTGAGTTTTCAAGAACTTTCCTTATCACAGTTCTTGTGCAAACGTGAAAACAATTCAGGCTGTGTCTCTCCAGTCACATGGTGGGGAACTGCTGTAGAGCTGGAATGCCCTGGTATTTCCTGAGGGTTCATAAACACAGGGGAAGGGGAGGGGGGTGGGGGGGTTCATTTCAGCACTACAACACTGCCGCAATGGCCCCACTGAGAGAACAGCTTGTTTCTTTTTTTAATTACTAATTGCACCAGCTCAGAAGGTAAATGTTGAAGAAGTGCAGAGTTCTGCAGCTGGGATCTATATATTAACCTTAAGGATTTTTGTTTCTTCTGTGCTAAAGCTGAAGGTTCATCTTATTGTCAGGGGAGGCTTTTTTATAATGAAATAACACATTTAATGTCCTTAAAAATATGAGGTAGCTTTTCAAAGGCACGTGCAGTGCCTTGTTTTGCAAGGACACTATTTAGCAGAAATTTCTGTGCATTTGAAGCCCATTGGATGCTGTAAGGGTTAGGGACTTAAAATGGCTAGAGATTAGAAACCAATTAGCCTGATAATTGGTCTGGCCCATGGCTTTTGGAAGACCAGGGACTAAAGCTTTATTTAATGAAATTAGTTTCAGTGTTTCCATGCTGGTTTACCTAATTGGTTTGGAGTGTTACATTCAAGTGTTTAATGAGCACTTTCAAATGAAATCGCTGACGTAGAGAAGAATACAAGTGTGCAGTACTTCTGATTTTCTATGTTTAAAGTATGAAGTGTTTAGTGTCCCTGTTAGGCTGCTGGGCTGTGAACTATCGTAATTGTAGACAGTTTTCAGATTCTCATGTAGAGGATGTCCTTTTATATTGACCATTGCTGAGGCTGTAATACAGCTTGAATGCTTCTTTGTGATGTTCTAAACACTTCCTGAGAACCACTGAAAATTGTGCATTCTTGCTCAGGAGGTAAATATTTCTTCGATATGGCAGTTTTATTGCAGACTTAGTTGAAGCATTGAGCTAATGGTGCAATACTGGGCAGCTGAAAAAGAGTTGTTTTTCTTTATATTGTAAATGCCGTTTTTTCCTTCCAGTTAAATGGCTCTGTGGTTCATACAAGACCATAGTTTTCTAAGTTGATTTACATGTAATTTCTCGTTTTCTACAATTGTTTTCCTTGGTGTACTTCTTTGTCTCGACAGTTTCCTTTGAAGCTGGGTATTGTATATGTCCAATACTAATTGGGCCTGCAGTACTGTACAGTACATGCGTGACCTTTCACGAGAGTACTGAATTGCTTTATTTTTTAGGTTCATTATTTAAAAAGACATGAGAAACAATTTGCTGACTGACACAGGAGCATAAAGATGACCTTCCAGTGTTCCTATCTGTGGAGATAATTGGAGCCAGCACACCTTTGCAGTTGTCTTGGCTGTGTGAGCAGGTTATAGGGTCACGTGGACAGTTAGCCATGCTTGAGTCCTGTTGCACTGGAGGAAGGAAGCAATTCATTTGGGTTTCCTCATTAACGCTTGACCCCCATTCCTATTTCCTAGGAATTTACTGCCTTTGTGACATTTTAAAATAAAAACTTTTTATTAATTCATGAATTATTTCATGATTTTTTTTTTCTCAGCTTACCATAATAATAAGGACACTCCTAGAGAAAAAAATCTGTACTTCTTAAATTACCTGAAATTAGATAGCATTCAGCTGGTAATCTAGTGTTCATTAATCTGTTATATTTATATTAATTGCATGTTAGGAGTATAAATGTCAACTACACTGGTAGCATTTGTCAGTGGGGTGTGAATGAAACCCCTATAGAACATGATTTGTGCTCTCAGTGTATATTCTTTGTCGTGTGATATCCTTTTAAACCTGCCTCTAGCTGATTCTGTTTCTCAGTTAAAGCGCTTCTAATTCCGAAATTATGCCTGAGCTGCTTTTCACTGGAAATCAGAGGTCTGGAGCCTTGTGGCTCATCAATCTCTCAAGCATGGCTTACAGGTGAAGCTGATCATTAATGCACATTTCAGTCCTGCAGTTCACTAACTGATACTTGTATGTATGGTTGCAAATTTCTATTCAAAGTGAATGAAACACACCAACAAACTTCTTTGCAACAGAAGCGAGAGATGTGTAGTGTACAATAATCACAATTATGATTTTTTAAATGATGTTGTTTAATAAAGAACAAGCAGCTCTCTAGTGATGGATGGAATGCTAAAATACACTGTGCACTAGGGTAATGGTTAAGGTTTGCTACATTGGGATTAAGTGTAGTGGCAGTGGCTACTAATTGCTATTATAAAGGAGGTATGCCGTTGTAAAATAAACATGGGCAAAGTGGAACGGTGC